ATAAACATTTCGTCACTCCCACTGAAAACACAGATGTCCAGATAAACAACATCAACTTTTTGGAGTTTGTTTCTATATACAAATAATTCATTTCTTCTTACAGTAGTGAGGCAGGAAACACTCAATGGTTTGATTTCTGTGAAAATCCTGTCAATCAATCATGTCAATATTTGACCGGGACTGCTAGGCTCCATCTCTCCATCAGAGTTTCAGAGAACTGGGGAGTGTTTGAAGTTCACAAAGTTGTTTTAGTCTCATTGGCTTTGGCACATTTCTCATAACCTTGTTTGAAGTTCTCAGCTCTTAACATATGTTTTCCACAACAGATCATACATGCAGCACGTGCCAATATGAAGTCTTTGTCAATGAACAGGTCTAAATAATTGCCACCAAAATAAAGGTTAATATAACACTGTTTAAAAGAATGACGGTGAACACTAGAAGTGTGTATCAGTGTTGTCCTACATTTTTATTTTTTTGGTAATACACTATATGTGTTTTCATTTGGTTACAGATTTTCATCACACTAACAATTAAATGTTCTTCCTTGCAGTGTAACTAAAGAAGAATTGGCATATATGTTGCTGCACTTTTATGCATCTTCATACTGCAGCACACATCTTTTCCCCTTCCTCTGCAGTGGGCAGACTGCAGTCCCTGTAAAATAAATATCTGAGATGATTTATATAATGAAACAATGCTTGTTTACAATTTGACCGGATTTTGGACAGCCGTTCTTCCTCATTTGCCTTAGAACATTTTACAAATATTAAGGAAGGGTGAAAATGACTCAATCTGGTGTGACAAACTGTTTTGAAGGATTTCACACATTCCTTGAGCCTTTTGAACACCTGAGTATTTATTGTAATAGCACACAAACCCAAATTTGTGACTGTCATGACAGATTTATGGTTCCAAACATTGTTCAGTTTTATCCAGTTTAATCATCATAGACATGAAAAGGAAAAGACTATTTGCTGGAGCTGGAGTTAGTCGAGAAACTGTTTTACTCTTGTTTTGTCAGGGCTCTGTGTGCGGGAAGGTGGAGATGTGGATCCAAGTGCAGGACTCAGAGACGGAAATGTAACTGAAAACCTCAGCTTTATTGCTGGCACCAAATAAAACCAAACAAAACAGAACAGAAACCAAACATGAAACCACTAACTGGAACACACAGGCAGGATCTGAGGGTACGACATGACACTGAGCAAGGGCAAACACAGGGCTAATATACACAGGGAGGTAATCAGGGAATGGAAGACAGGAGGGAGACACAGCTGGGAGAGATCAGGGCTAACGAGACAGGGAGATTGAAGCTGGACACACTAACATAAGACACAGACCTTCACAATAAAACAGGAAACCACACTTTACCAAGACATGGGCTAGACAGAGAGGCAGACTTGACACTGAACAAAACCTACTAATACAATAATAAACCCAGTATCACAAAGTAAACAGCATATAACTCATAATCCCGAGAAATACCATGAACATAAGAACTTATCCCTCACCAAGAACAAGACATATTTATTATCATAATCAAAGTACCAGAGAATAAGAAATAATCCATAATGCAAAAATAAACCAAAACATAAGAAACTCAAAATGCTGGGTCGAACCGACCCAGGACCGTGACATGTTTTATAGTCGTGGTGCAAACACTCTCTCAATACAGTCAGAAGACATTCAACACACATGTCAAACTGTGGGGCCATGACGTAGGTGCGAATGTCAATTTTAAATTTCCTGACATCTCTGAAAACTGGCTGGCATATAGACGGTGAATACAACAATCAACTCTTGTGACAGTTTGACAGCAGCCAGAGTGATTTCATAGGGAGCTGAAATGTTCTAAACTCAGATAAGACTGATTCTGATGCAACATCTCAAACACAAAATTGTCACAGATGGCATCATCAAAGTGGTAATACACTGATGTCCACAGAGCGGAGACGGTAGACAGTTTGCAGGTTAGATTTACTGTACAAAATGAAGAAATGTAGACAAAATAAATACAGTTTTCAGATGAATCTTTTCAACAGAAGTAGATGTTGTGTTTGTATATATTGGCAATGCTACAAATCACCCAGAAAAACTAAAAAAAAATAATCATTTTGAACCCACTGTTTTTGGTTTTGTGATAAATGAAA